CCGCGGGCACCAAGGGGCCCTCAAGGACCACTGGGGGGGCCCTCTTTGTCTTCTGAAAACAGAAGAACTCCCTCAGTGGGTTAAGTTTAATTCTTTTTTATTCTGTTGCTCTTCTTTTAATCATTTATGTATTATTTCATCATGTTAACTATTTCATCATATTTCAGTGGTTTCAAAATGACAATATTAAAATGAAAATTAGAAATGAATAAAAGAATAAAATAAGAATAAAAATGTGTTTTTATGGATGAGATTTCCTGTAGGTGAACGCTGATCCCTCCAGTTCATAGGTCAGTATGGTAGCCCTTCCTATGACTCGGTAGCCATGAAGTAGCCCTCAGCCTTAAAAAGGTTGGTGACGCCTGCTCTAAATGATGCAAGCAGCATCTATTATAGCCCTTCCTTCATGCTTATCCTCATGACGGTTGGCACATGGTGAAAATTTTTAATTCTTTAAACTATAAAATCCTTGCAACAAACTAAATAATAATAAAACTAAAATGCTTCCTTTAAACCAAACTACGATGTTCCTCTCATATTTGGTGAATTTATGTTTGAATATTTAGCAGAAATCTGTTGCGGTGCATGATGGGGTTTAGCATCTGTTTACATTATATCGTTGCCCTCATGCCGCCTGGACTGGCAGTGAACGCAGACACACCGCTGAGCTTCATGGATTCATTCTTAAGAACTGCCCGTCTGCCTCTAGATTGTTTTATGTTGGTGTTTTTAAAGAACACCCAGACTGACGTTATAGACCTACTATGTGTGAGTGCGAGTCTGGCTGGCTTAGTATAAATGTCGACGTTACGCAGCAGCAGCCGCTGTGGCGTCTGAGTTTATAACCAAAGCAAATAAAACCGCATTACAGAAGTCTTGGTGATGGTTGAAGATAGATCAGTTAATCCACAATGTGGATTCGTATCGTGTTTCACATCAGAGACGCAGTTTAACTGCAGACAGATAGCGGGCCGGTGTACATGGAAAAATGCCAGGGCCAAAACTGGTTTCCAGTCCGACCCTGCATGTTTACGTAAGGCCGTCCTACGTGCTCATCCCCATTTTCATTTACCAGTGGTGAGTCTGACATAGCGGGGAAATTGAAAATCTTCTTTTGAAAAGCTTGTTTTAGTGATGCAAACAGTAACTTTTAAACAGAGCGTGCACGAGGAGAAAGGGGCTCGTGCACGCTCTCACACGCGTTCAATAGGCGTTCCCCCTCAGTAGGGGGTACAGGGAGGTGCATGTGCATTTTATTTTTTAAAGTGGAGAGGGTGGGTCTTTTCAAAAATTCATTAAAATCCTCCACTATACCTTTAAGCGGGTAACTAACTTGGTCTGTCAATGGAATTTGCATTTTTGTCCTTAAAATAAGATGATCAGATATGATGTACCTGAAATAAGATAATGGATTTTTTTTCTTATTTGAAACATAAATAATCTCATCTTATCTTAATCTATCAGCAAATCATCACACTTATCTGCTCAAACCAGGAAAATGGAATTACTTAGAATTTTGTAAAGAACTTTTATGTGTTCAGAAATTAAACTTTATGCTTGATTTCCTTTCCTGTCAGATGTTCTGGATTCTGGACCAGATCTAGAGTCAGAGTTTGTCTTTTGACTTCAAGCAATGGTTTCCATCCTACGGTCAAACCTAAACAACAAATCAGTACAGGAACAGAGACTGAAGAGCCTCCGGAGGATTTACCTGCTGCAGCAGGCTCTCCTGCGTAGCCGGGTCGTTCAGGTCCATAGAGGAGCTGGGCAGCACTTTCAGTCTCACCACATGCTGTTTTTTCACTTTGGAGATATTCAATTAAAATTGATGGTTAATCACATAATGACATCTATAATAAATATATTCTCATGTTCCAATAATATTTATTTTTTAAGATATACCTTCATTCAATTATTTTCCATTTCCTTGTTAACATTTATAGATGTACTTTGTATACAGACAGAGAATCCATGGAAAAGAATCAGAAATCAGTCCCAACTAGAAAAAGCTTTTTGAGTTTTCATCAACTTGAAACTAGAATAAAACATTTGCAAATTGAATGACCTCGTTGTGATTAAAACTAATAGGCATTTTTCTCAAAAAGATTAAAACTAAAAGTTTATAGTCTTCCAAAAACAGCCCTGGATTATGTTTATGATTAACTTGTTTTGGTTCATTCAAACATCAACAAACGCTGATGCTGAATTGATGGCAGCCATAGAGGAGACTGTGCTTACCTTCACAGACGGCCACAGCCGTATTCTCACAGTTATATGACCCAAACCCGCTGTGATCACAGTCAAGCAGGCTGCCCTCGGATCCAGAACACCGCAGGTTAGTCAGGTGGACGCTCCCATCTGCTGGAGCGTGTGCTTTAATGGGAGCTCCATAGGCGCGGTCACAGCCCAGCTCCCTGCAGACAACCTCAGCATCATCCATGTCCCAGCTGCTGCTACACACCGATCCCCAGCTCTGGCCGTCGTAGACCTCCACCCGACCAGAACAGCTGCTTGGACCAGACAGTCTAACCGGAGCGGCTGTTTTAAGAGACACATTTGATGGTCAGTCACTGTGGTTAAAGATGTTTCCTGGCTGTGAATGACGGCTGTTTATCCCAAATCCACAGTGGGAGCTGACAGCCAGAGCAGACCCACTTCTACCTGAGCAGGTACCCAGACGGGTCCAGATCCTTCAGCATAGTGTGCAGTGCTGCCGTCATCACAGGTGGGGTTCAATCTACAGATGCTTTCCAAAAAACATTGAATATTATGGAAAGGTTGAAAGGTTGTTTGATTTCCATAATTCCATTGCATTTCATTTGCCTATTTTATGTAATTTTGGTGTCCAGCTCATAAAACACGCAAAAACTGAAATCTAAAAAATGAGAATTCTGTGAAGAAATCACCATTTATCTTCCAGTATTTTATTTATTTCTCAGTATTTAAGGCACATTCCCAGCCAAGTGCTGGAGATTGAGAATCTCTGTGCCTTAATGACTTCCTCAGTACGACGCTGAGGCATTGAGGCGATCAGCCTGCGGCATTGCCTCAGAGTTACGGAGGCCCAGATTTCCTCAATATCTGCCGTCAGCTCTTCTCTGATGTTGGTGCTGGTGCCTCTCATCTTCCTCCTGAGATGACCGGGTGTCAAACTGGTTCCAGAAAGGGCCGTGTGGCTGCAGGCCTTCTTTCCAACCAAGCAGTAGCACCAGACTCCAGTCATTTCATCAAGTCATCGTGTTCAGATTGGACTTACTTGATGAAATAACTGGAGTCTGGTGCTACTGCTTGGTTGGAAAGAAAACCTGGAACCAGTTTGACCCCCCCTGCCATAGATTTTCAGTGAGTTTCAGGTCTGGCCAGCTGGGTGGCCAGTACAGCACTGTGAGGCACGGACATGAAACCAGGCGGTATGGGCAGAGACCAGGTCCTGCATCTCCATGCAGATCCTCAGCAGAATGAACCTCTAAAACATTCTGGTAGACTGTTGACAGTCAGCATTGGAGTTAAGAACGTTTACAAGCATTTGCATCTGGACATTGCAGCAAAAACAGTAAAAAAAAAAAAGTATGTCAAAACTGTTAAAACAAAAATAGAAAATTGGGTTTTCATCGTCTTTTATTGTCATTATCTGCCCTGTCACTCATCTGCCTAACTCTGCCGGTCTCTAATTATCACTCATCTCATCCACCTGCGTCTGTTCCGTTATACTCGGCTCAGCCCAGCTATCAAGGCCAGATCATTGTTTGTTCCAGGGTTCCTGTCCTGGTTCCTGGTGGCCAGTGGATTTAGAGGGTTTTCATGTCTGCCTTGTCCTCCGATCGTGTCCTGGTCTTTCAGTCAGTTTTTTCCCCGTAAGCCTGGCTCCAAGCTGGAGACCAGTTTGACGTTTCCTGCAGAAATCCCAGTACCGCGTCTTGTCTCTATCCCTCAACCACTGACCCTGCCTGTCTTGCATCTGTGCGTGTCTGTCTGCTTCTGGACCCGTTCTAACGCAGAACCTGCCTAAACGCTCTAAGGATTCCTGGAACCCCGGATCTATCTGATCCTCAGTGGACCGGAACCTCTGGTCGGACTACAGACCGATTGGATCACGGAACTGTTCCTGCCTGATCTGTTTTCCCCTGACCTGGATCTGTTTCCTGCAAGTTCTCTGGGGCTGCAGCATCAGGGACACTCTGGGCGACAAACGTTGCGTCGGTTAGCAGTCCATCAGAATAGTCAGAGATGGTGGCCCCGCCCTCCTGCAGCCTCTGCGGTCCACAGGTTCTGTATTTTTTGTCTGTTTTGTTTTAAATAAACGTTCTGAACTTTCCTACCGACTGTCTCTCCTTGAATTCTGGGTCCATCTTTCCTGTTATGACAATTATTGGACTAAAGCAGGACAAACTCAGACCGACCAAACAGACCAATTTTCAATAACTATTTCTGGAGGAGCGACCAGATTTAGCATCTAGATGACATCTGACGTGGATATTTCACACTGGACCTCAAGCAACTCTGGTTCTGTTCTTCACCCGTTGACCTTGATTCCCAAATGAAAGGAACTTCCTCCTTTAGAAACATGTAACTGTGGCCTTGTTAAGATGCTTCCTACGTTGGCTCAGGCTCAGAAGGGGATTTTAACCCAGGAACCCGACAGTTATGTTATGCATCCAAACAGCGCCTTCATTTGGCTGAAACGTGAAAAATCAAAAGCCGTAATATTGAAATAATTGAAAATATGTTCAAAGCCCCATTTTCCACATCTACAATTAGACTAAATCCGACCAATCACGGACCGACCAGGTTTTCTTTAGGAAGTTTCACTCTTTCTGGATCTCAGCCAGATACTTTAATCTTTTCTGTTTTATAATCTGATCTGAGAAGCTGATCTCTTCTGCTGGTGCATCTTCTGCCGCATTTCGTCCTTCCAGCAGACTTTCCACTGATATGCTTGGACACAGCGATGGTGATGAACTGTGTGGCTTACCCGCCCTATGGAGGATATCAGTGAAGGTCTTCTGACCACTAATCAGGTCAGCTTCCATGTTGAACTGAACTGAAGCAATTTAATAAGAAAAACTTTGACTTTAGCAGCCGATTACTGTTTGACATTCAGTTTAAAACATTCATGCTCTGCAGTATTTGGGCGGATTTATTCATGGTATTTATTATTTTAATAATGTTTTCACAGGATTTATCAACATGAAGCCTTAATTATGTCAAAATAAATGAATCAACCATAAATAATAAATTAATTAACCAAATGATTGAAATCATTTAAACTGTTGTCCCTGAATCTATAATCTATTAAAGTTTGACCTTCAATATTAAAAGAAATTAAACAACTTTTCCATAATATTCTATTTATTGGAAATTATCAGTAGATGGAGAAGATCCTCTGATTTCTGACAGCAGGTTAGATATGAAATATTTCCTGCTTTTAAAGCATCATTTAATGTCTGTACCGAGTGGAGGAGCCACACATCATGATCCATTATGTTTAAATGTTATCCAAATGTCCTCTTACCACAGATGACGCCGGCGTCGTCGTTGTGTCCACAGTTATGGGTCCCAAAGCCCGGGTGGGAGCATTCAAACAGGCTGTTCTCGCTTCCTAAACAGCCCATTTCATCGAGCCAGATGGATCCGGTTCCTGGACCAAAGTGGGCCATGGCCGGTGCGCTCACCGCCGGTCCGCAGCCCAGCTGTCTGCAGAGCACCTCAGCTTCGTTCATGTCCCAGGCATCATCACATACTGTTCCCCAGGAACCGCTAGAGTAAACCTCCACCCTTCCAGAGCACCTTGTTGGACCGATTAATCTGACCTCTGTTGGTGGAAACAAATGAAACTGGTCTTATTATCTGTTAGTGTTCCTCAGAAACACCAGTGAGATAATTTCACCTTAAACATTTAAGCACTCTAGACTAAATTAATGAAATGCTTTCAACTTCTCCGTCCACTTTCAGCGAAAGATCTGCTCCAAACATAGCGGCTCCCACAGAGAAATAATCTTTGAAGGCAGGATGGTAATCTGGATGAACTGACTGCACAGACCATGTTTTCAGGAGGACTTTCTCACTTCAACATAGATTCTAACTACTTTCTACCCGCTGATCACAGCTAATTGAACACAGGAGCAGCAGAAGCTTCTGGACTTTACTGGACGCGCTTCAGGAGCATCAAATGCTCTTGTGGCTTGTCTTGATTTTTATGTATATATGTTTCAATCCAGGAAGACGGTGCCAGTGGCAACAGCTGGTCCATCATTTAATGTAAAGGTTTTCTACATCACAACTTATCCAGGTCATGTGATTCAACCTTTCATTCACTACATTCATGTTTTTGGAAGAAAAGAAAAAAATGACAAGCTAGATTAAAAATCTGTTTGCAAACCTAAGAAAATAATTTTAAACTGTTCTCCTTCCATTAACCTTTTCCAATGTGATGCTTAAATATGCAAAAAAAGCAACCCTGATGGAAACATGTCATGCAGAGTCGAACCCTCAGGGCCTTTCTTCGCCTTCAGAGAAGGCTGAAGAATCTCAGAAGAGAAGAAATAATAATTTAACATTATTGTAACATGTGAATTTAATGAATCTAATAAATTTGTCATTAAATGTCCTGTGGAAGATAATCCACTGGACTTTGTTTTCCAATTCTGAAGACGTTTAAGTTCCCATCCAGGAAGGTTTTTCAATTCAAAATGCCTGAATTGGCAATGAGCTCCAGGCTCACAGAGTCGCCCAACGAAGCCTGTAATGGGTTAAAAAACATGCAAATTAAACTGGAAGAACAGGTTCACCCTTCATAATGGGGGGTCGTTAGGGTCATTTTTGGCCTGGCTGACCAAGCCAGATGTTTTGCTCCCCTGCATAGCTATGGAGGTTGAGATGATAGCAGCAAGCTGGAGATTTCTTCCTGTTCAAAGGGAGTTTTTCCTCTCCACTGTCGCTACAAGCATGCTTAGTGTGAGGGATTGCTGAAGAGTCAATGAGTCGATGCAATCAGCTGGTTTTTTCTTTGATAGAAAACTTTGAATCAATCTGACTGGATGATCTGGTGAACTGGAAAGTGACCTGAGATGACATGATGTGAATTGGCGCTATAGAAATAAACTGAATAGAATTGAAGGAAGCAAATCTATTCCAACGTTGTAGGTTCAAAGGACAAACTGTACAACGCTGCCATCGGCCACAAAGAAAGGCTGGCAAATGGATTCAGTTTTCATCTAATAATTCAGGCCTGTGTTATAAACCATTTATGATTCATATGGGATTGATAGGATTGACATGGGCCGACGGTGGCGGAGGGTTGATGGTTCAAGCCCCGGCTCTGACTTTCAGTGTCGTTGTGTCCTTGGGCAAGACACTTCACCTGCATTGTCTACTGATGGTGGCCAGAGGGTGGCGCCAGTGTACGGCAGCCCCGCTTCTGTCAGTGAGCTCCAGGGCAGCTGTGGCTACAATGTAGCTCACCACCATCAGTGTGTGAATGAATGGGTGAATGAATGTAGTGTAAAGCGCTTTGGTCAAGTCTCCTAACTTGAATAAAGGCGCTATATAAGTACAGGACATTTACCATTAAGGCCCAGGGAGACTTTTGGGTTTAGAGATTTGTTGTGTGTAAAAACTTTTATGCAAACGGCCTGTTATTTAATGTAGCCGATCACTTCTAGCTTTGCATTTTTCCAAAAGGTGTTTATTTTCAATCTTAGCATGTAAAGAATTTAGGAGGTGTTGTAGAAACATTTTTTTTTTTTTATTTTGTTGTAGAAACATTTAAACATAAACTGCGATTTCGGATTATGTCATGGTTTCATGGCGCTGTCCATGGTGCTGACTGTAGATGATCTAGTCGACAGCATTGGCTGTTGCTGGGTGACAATAATCTCAGATGATTTTCTGGGGGGGCTCATTAGATCGCAGATTTTGGTATATTTGATCACCTATGTGACCTGAATCATACTCAGTGTTTAGTTGATAATTTAGAGAAGGTGTCTCATTGAATGTGTTTTTAGAATGTTTTTTCTGTTTGTCTGCTGAAAGCCCAACCATGGAGCTCATGGTTCTCAACTGATGTCATGTGACCCTCAGAACATGTAACTTCCTTTTAGCTCTGTCAGTAGAAATTGATCAAACAAATCCATCGTTATGGTTGATGCTCCGTCTGTTGGTTTCCTCTAATAGCTTGAGGAGACATTCTCCATGTAAGGCTGGTAAACTGGTGCTCTTACCTTCACAGACGACACTAGCATCTTCTCCATGTCCACAGTTATGATTTCCAAATCCTGCATGGGAACACTCAGGCAAACTGCTTTCACTTCCCACACATCCCACATTATCCAGCCAGATCTGTCCGCTTCCTTCCCCAAAGTGTGCCATCATGGGGGCGCTCTTCGCGCTCCCACAGCCCGCCTGTCTGCAGACCACAGCAGCGTCATGGATGTCCCAGGCATCATCACACACCGTCCCCCAAACACCATTATGTTGGACTTCGACTCTCCCGGAACACACAGAAGGTCCAACTAGTCGGATCTGTGCGTCAGCTGGCAGAGACACAGCGGGAAACAAGAGGAAACATGAAGGATGCTTCTGGGTTTGGGTCAAAGCTGGAGAAATAATCTTTGTTTATTTGAGAAGTTTCTACTGAACAGGAAATCTGAAATCTCTGTGACTCATCAGGAGGTTCTGATCATTTGGACCTTAGGATCCCATCCAGACTACAGCCGGCCCAGCAGCACATCATCCACCATGCAAATTTCACACGACCTGCTTCTAAAGATGTGAGCCTGAGCTGAAAGGAGGGAGGATTAGAAGAATTTAAATTCTACTCTGCTGGTCTGAATATCAGCATTAACCCAGTTTGCACAAAGATTTGAATGTTTTTAATATTTTAATCTGGGATCCTGCAGATTAACTCAGACTTCGTTTGTCATCATGGCTTCAACTCAGCTGTTTACAGGAGCAGCTGATAAGACCAGTAAAACCAGTGGATCAGAACCAGCAGATGAGTTAACTCCTCAGATTGTTCATGACTGGAAACTCCAACTGGACTTTAGGAAATTGTTTCCATTTCCTCTTCAGTCAGACTCTGGGACCTTGATCAGCAATCACCCCAAGACCACCATGATCAGTTTCCCTTCTATTGCACTTTCCATTAAACATGTTTAGATGCAGCTCGCTGTGAACAACAAGCCAGTTTAGAAACAAAACTCCTTCCTCTGCACAGCTCTCCACTCAGCATGATTGATGCAGAACAGCAGGATGACAATAGAAGCTTAAAATCACTTTCTATTGGTCAGTGGAGGAAGTGGCTGAGAGGAGGCAGCTGTCCAAGCTTCCATCCATCATGGACGCCACCTTCCACCCTCTGCAGCAGACTGGAGAGGAGCTGAGCAGCTCCTTTAGTCAAAGACTTTTACAGCCTGTTTGGAAAAAGGAGCTACTGCAGGTCATTCATCCGCTGCAATCAGACTCTACAATGAGACACTACAACTGCTGCAATAGAGAATGAGCAATTTCTATTTAATACCCTGTACAATAACCTGGTTCTCTATATCTGACGCCCAGTGCAATAACTATATATATAATTATAAATATCCATGCAAACCCTCTGTGCAATAACCCTGTAAAATGATCCTACTATAAAAAAAGCTGCCATATGTGGACTGACTGCTCCTTTATCTTCCTTTGGCTCCTTCTTCCTCTTTGACTATTTGAGCTGATGTAACAAGTAAATTTCTCCACTGTGAGATCAATAGACAATAATCTTCCACACATCTGTAAATAAATGCAACATGGCGAGGTTCCTCCTAAAACCTACTTGAACATCTGCTTAAATGTGTTAAAGGTGCTAAATTATAATTTCTATTTAATTTTTCATCCTTTCTTACTTTTTGCTTCCTGCAGCAAAACAACAGAAACAGAAGTTCTTAAAGTTTTATCCTGGATTAAACATCATTTCCTACCTGATGTAGCGAGTAGGATCAGCAGAACCTTCTCCATCCTTCCGCTGGTTTGGCTCCTAAAGTCTGACTTCAGAATTTTTAATTCTCCAATTTTTACAACAACATGCAAAATTAGGACTTACTTATTTGCATTTCAGACGTCATGTTTATTTTGAGATCTGCCTTAAAAAGAAAACAGAGGAATGATTTTTACATCCCAGATCACTGATTTGACTGCAGGAGCTTGAGAACCAGAACAAACAGCAGCTGACTCAGTATCAAGCTCTAAAAATATTCTCCATGGACAGCTGGAGATAAATATCACTATATACATTTGTATTTGTATTATTTATTTACATGATGAAAAGCAAAAGGAAAGTCATTAACAGGATAAAACAACTCAAAACACAATAGAAGGCCTGGTGTGCAGGGTGTCCTCTGCCTCTTTGAACTGCTTCACACCATCAGGCAGATATATTTCTAAAAAACGATCAAACATAGGTTAGGCATGGCCTGCCTGGCACACAGGAAGTGGCGTTAGCTGCTAGCGCTAATAACTGTCACAAAACGGGACAGATGGACCCAGTATTCAGAGACAGTCGGTAGGAAAGTTCAAAACGTTTATGAAAATAAAAACAGAACAGAACTGAAGCAGGATACTGAGGATCCAGCAGGAGTCCAACCGAGGTTCAGGTGAACAGATCAGGGAGGGACAGACAGGGCCAGTGGGGGAGAGGGAACGGAATCAGGAGAACAGAATAACTCGGGGAAACGCTGAAACGCTCTCACCACTGGTTAGGGATTAAA